ATGCGATGCCAGAAGGGAAGCCTTGAATTCCCAAAGTCCTCCAGCGCCACCCAGCATCTCTATCACACCTGTAGAATTGAAAAGAGATCTAAAATAATCTAGTACACGTTCATCAAAGAGTTGGCATGTTGTGTGGCCGAGAGAAACACGTTCGCTTCGCTCCAGGGAAGGAAGACAACCGAAGAAGCAACATAATGGCACTTGCTTATCATTTATCTTCACTGCTAACACTTACGAGTTTTAAAACATGAGTGAAATTTATCAAAATATAAAATGAATTAAGTAACACAGTTGCTGTCATTTTTCGGTTCAATACCCTAAAACAAAACCAGAGTAACAGCTGTTAATAGGCAAATAAGGACACTTGTCTCAATTCAAATTTTGGACGATATTTATTTTGGGTCCCTATAAGAGGCTATGTATTAATAAAAATAAATAAATGCGAATGAAAATCTGTTTTAAGCAAGTATATATATATTGGCCTGATCATGACAAGAGGATGACGAACACGTGGCTCATAAATAAAATGCTAGGGAATACGTTACGGTCGGAACCATCGATACAAATGACGCAGATAGCTATAATACGTGTTAAAGGGAGGGTGTCACGGCTCAACGCATGTGCAAGNTCTAGTACACTTTCATTAAAGAGTTGGCATGTTGTGTGGCCGAGAGAAACACGTTCGCTTCGCTCCAGGGAAGGAAGACAACCGAAGAAGCAACATAATGGCACGTGCTTATCATTTATCTTCACTGCTAACACTTACGAGTTTTAAAATATGAGTGAAATTTATATAAAATGAATTAAGACAGTTGCGGTCATTTTTCGGTTCAATACCCTAAAACAAAACCATGGTAACAGCTGGTAAAAGGCAAATAAGGACACTTGTTTCAATTCAAATTTTGGAAGATATTTATTTTGGGTCCCTGTGAGAGGCTACGTATTAATAAAAATAAATAAATGCGAATGAAAATCTGTTTTGAGTAAGTATATGTATTAGCCTGATGATGACAAGAGGATGACGGACATGTGGCTCGTAAATAAAATGCTAGGATACGATTACGGTCGGAACCATCGATACAAATGACGCAGATAGCTATAATACGTGTTAAAGGGAGGGTGTCACGGCTCAACGCATGTACAAGCTACTACATGTTAATTAATATTATTCAATTTCAATGTTTATAAAAAAAAATCGCGAGCGTGCTGTT